GAAAAGATAAATGGTGACAGTATGTATGTAAATGTGCACATAGTTTATTCTTAATATGCTCTAAATATGGAATCTGACACATCCTGGAAATTGTAGCAGTAGCAGAGGCTTACCTATCACAAGACCATTATCTATGAGCTAGTTGAGACTCCCTCAGGACATCCACACACATTGTCTATTAAGATAAGTAGAGAGGTCTTTGCAAACAGATATACTGCCTTATTGAATGAATCATTGTATCAAGAACATGTGAGCAATACTGGTATATGGCTACTATCAATTTCAAAACTGAACACTTCTGTCCATGGACACTCCTGTTCTTATCTCTCAACAACATAGCCATAGCTTATGCGAAAATGATTTAATATTACATTCAGACAAAGAAAAATTTGACTATTCAGAGTCAAAATATATCTAAACCCGGATACAGAGCATGAGCACAAAGAGCAAAGATCACAGAGTGCTGCGGCCGGCTACACCGGGAGCCTACTGAGCACTGTACAGCGGGGGAGTGGGGGGGGCCCGGCCGGGGCTGTGCCATGTGAGCGCCGGACATCTCGCATGTCCTCACCGTAGCATTTGTGCTCCTGTGGTCCCCGGGATGCCGAAGCGGTGACGAGCCAGCGGGAGACACCGACATCATGGCACACCTCCGGGGGGCCCCACACGGCTCTGACCACCGGGGGCCCCGGGAACTGCACTGTGCCTGACACTGACTCCATCCCCTGCAGGGGGAACTGCTGCGCACCTGGCTGAGGACAAAACTTTTCACCTGGCTCCAAACCCATCACCTGTAGCAGGATCTGCTGTGTGCCTGGCATCCAGTCCATCACCCTGCAATAGGATCTGTGTGCCTGGCATCCAGTCCATCACCTGCAATAGGATCTGCTGTGTGCCTGGCTCCTAAAATTACCTGAAGGAGGAACTGCTGTGTGCCTGGCATCCAGCCCATCACCTGGAGGAGGAACTGCTGTGTGCCTGGCTGAGGACATAAAACTGTGCGCCAGGCTCCAAACCCATCATCTGCAATAGGATCTGCTGGAGTCAATCACTCCAAGCAGGCTCTGCTGTATGCCCGGCTTCCAGTATATCACCTTGGGGGAACTGCTGTGTGCCTAGCATCCCGTTCATTACATAGAGGAGTTGCAGAGGAATTAGAGAGGAACTCTTGTGCACCTGCCATCCAGTACGTTAGCTGGAATAGGATCTGCCGCGTGCCAACTCCATCACCTGGAAGAACTGATGTGTTCCTGGCACCCGAATATTACTTGGAGGAGGATCTGCTATATACCTGGCACTGAGTCTATGACCTGAAAGAGCAACTGTGTTGTGCCTGGCTGGACATAGAACTGTATGCTTGGCACCAACTCCATCACCTATAAGAGGGTCTGCTGTGTGCCTGGCTGAGGATAGAACAGCGTGCCTGGCATTGGGGGAGATCATTAAAAAAAAAAACCTGTGTGCCCAGCGTGCAGTGGATAGGGTAGAACCAAGCACAGGAGAGGATTGGTGGACACTGCGCGCACCTGGCACAGGAGAGGATTGGCAGGGAGGGACTCAAGCAAACAGGGCCACTGGTGCAGTGTAGCCTACTGGGAGCACAGGACCCGAATCAGTCGCTTCTATACAGTGTGACAGTCATCAGTAAGCATCTTCTATGACCTGCCTCAAGAGAGTGGCTTCTGCCTGGGCCAGCTAAGTCTGGAGAACTGCAGTAAGGGTGCAGTCAGGACACGGGGCAAGACTAGACTTGGCATTGTGCTAAGCAAGAAGCCTGATGGAGTGTGGCTTATAACTGCAGCGGCCATCCCATCTTTGTCGATGCTGGATGGCCCCACCTGTCGCTCACTTGTTGTACGCAAGGTGATGCCCGGCTTCCCTCTGAAAGTTTTTTACTTTAAAAAGTTGTGTATCTTGCAGCATCTCCCGGCGCATCCAGAATACATGGATGGACTTTATGATCCCCACAACATATGCATTAGTTTTGCCAAGGGTTGGGGACAATGCTACTCAAGACAGATGATCACTTCTTGCCCCTGCTGGCTCGAGGTCTTACTTGGACGATAGCAGCCAGTCTTTTGAGCCCTGATCCCCATCAACTGATGTATAAATATAGAAGGATGTGTACTACTGTGAGCAGACATGTGAGCTGGTAAAGTCCCTTAGTAAAGCCCTTTTCTGCAAGAGAGGTATGTGTTACCCCCGATTGGCATCATCCACCTCTGTGCCCTAGGAAGGGGTTTCCAGCAACATTATATATGAGGAGTCTACAAACCTTCTAAATAAAGGTCTGGTTTACGCTCTTTTAGATATTGTGGGGGTCAGATTATGGCCAGTGGGGGGTAGAACACAGCCTGGCATCAGTGGGAATAAACAAAGATCAGTAGAAGTAAAACAATTGCATAGCGGCTGTGGTCAGTACGAGGAGGCATCATGAGGCTGGAATAGTGCTCTACCATTGGTATCATTGGAAGGAATAGTGCCCCATCATTGGTATTAGTAGCAAGAATAGTACCCCATCATTGGTATCACACGGAGGAATGGTGCCCCATCATTGGTATCACTGGGAGGAATGGTGGCCACATCATTGGTGTCCATGGGAGGAATAGTGCCCCCATCATTGGTATCACGCCGAGGAATGGTGCCCCATCATTGATATCAGTGGGAGGAATATTGCCCCATCATGCCCCCGCATCATCGGTGTCCGTGGGAAGAATAGAGCCCGCATCATTGGTGTCCGTGGGAGGAATAGTGCCCACATCATTGGTATCAGTGGGAGAAATGGAGCCCCCATCATTGGTGTCCATGGGAGGAATAGTGCCCACATCATTAGTATCAGTGGGAGGAATAGTATCAGGTACCTGGTGATGGAGGCCAATGGAGAGAGGGTGTCAGGGCTCCCAGGTGTGACCAGAGGTGTGTGACTGACGCAGGGAAACGCAGACTTCAGATATGTGATAAACAATATAATTTATTAACACTAACAATACAAACATAAATGCAGTGCAATACTAAACATAATACAGTGCAAACAAACCAAACCAACCACCCACAGATAACAGTACATACAAGCAAGCGTCGTCAGGCAGGCCGGGTCAATATCAATAGGGCAGGTAGGTACAGGGGGAGCAAGCGGAGATTGGTCGGGGTCACAGGCCAGGTTCAGCAGGTAGCAGGCAGCGTAGTACAGAGGGTCAGGCAGAGGGATGGTCAGACAAGCCAGGGATCAGAACAGGTAGCAGAGAATCAGACAGGAACAGAGAGCAGGAACAGGATACAGGGCCCAAGAGAAACACAACACCAAGGCAGAGTCTGCAAGTCTGGCCATCCCTTAAATACCCCAGCATAATCAGTTCCAGGTGTTAGCTGGCTGCAAAGTTGAGTCTCTGATTGCTGGGAGCATCCGCTGGCCAGCCCTGGTACTGCAGATCAAAAGGCAGGTGAGTCCCACCATTGCTGGCTAGTCCATTCCTGACAGTACCCCCCCCTCAAGGAGCGGCCTCAGGACGCTCCAAACAGTCCTAGCTGGGCAAAATGTTCCACCGCCCGGGTCTGGTAACTGGCGGGATATCAAGACTGGCACACCGGGCAGGACTCCGGGCAGGGGCACACCGGGCAGGGGCACACCGGGCAGGGGCACACCGGGCAGGGGCACACCGGGCTGGACTCCGGGCAGAGGCACATCGGGCTGGACTCCGGGCAGAGGCACATCGGGCAGGACTCCGGGCAGAGGCACATCGGGCAGGACTCCGGGCAGAGGCACATCGGGCAGGACTCCGGGCAGAGGCACATCGGGCAGGACTCCGGGCAGAGGCACATCGGGCAGGACTCCGGGCAGAGGCACATCGGATTACCAGGCGAAGCAGCAGGCAGCGGGCCACCGGGCGGAGCGGCAGGCAGCGGGCCCCCGGGTGGGGGCGGCAGGCACCGGGCCCCCGGGCGGGGCGACAGGCACCGGGCCCCGGGCGGGGCGACAGGCACCGGGCCCCCGGGCGGGGCGACAGGCATCGGGCCCCCAGGAGGGGCGACAGGCATCGGGCCCCCAGGAGGGGCGACAGGCATCGGGCCCCCAGGCGGGGCGACAGGTCTCGGGCCCTCAGGCGGAGCGACAGGTCTCGGGCCCTCAGGCGGAGCGGCGGGCGCCGGACCCCCAGATGGAGTGACAGGTCTCGGGCCCCCAGGCGGAGTGACAGGTCGGGGCCCTCAGGCGGAGCGGCGGGCGCCGACCCCCAGATGGAGCGACAGGTCTCGGGCCCCTAGGCGAGCGGGGGCGCCTGACCCCCAAGTGGAGCGACAGGTCTCGGGCCCTCAGGCGGAGCGGCGGGCGCCGGACCCCCCCAGGTGGAGCGACAGGTCTCGGGCCCCCAGGCGGAGCGACAGGTCTCGGGCCCCCAGGCGGAGCGGCGGGCGCCGGACCCCCAGATGGAGCGACAGGTCTCGGGCCCTCAGGCGGAGCGGTGGGCTCCGGACCCCCAGGTGTAGAGCGACAGGTCTCGGGCCCTCAGGCGGAGCGGCGGGCGCCGACCCCCAGGCGGAGCGACAGGTCTCGGGCCCCCAGGCGGAGCGACAGGTCTCAGGCCCCCAGGCGGAGCGGCGGGCGCCGGACCCCCAGGTGGAGCGACAGGTCTCGGGCCCCCAGACGAAGCGGCGGGCACCGAGTCACCAGGCACGACAGCGGGCACCGAGTCGTCTGGCAAGACTGCGGGCACCGAGTCGTCTGCAAGACTGCGGGCACCGAGTCGTCTGGCAAGACTGCGGGCACCGAGTCGTCTGGCAAGACTGCGGGCACTGAGTCGTCTGGCAAGACTGCGGGCACCGAGTCGTCTGGCAAGACTGCGGGCACCGAGTCAACTGTCGGAACAGCGGGCACCGAGTCAACTGGCGGAACTGCGGGCATCGAGTCAACTGGCGGAACTGCGGGCACCCGAGTCAACTGGCGGGACTGCGGGCATCGAGTCAACTGGCGGAACTGCGGGCACCGAGTCGTCTGGCAAGACTGCGGGCACCGAGTCGTCTGGCAAGACTGCGGGCACCGAGTTGTCTGGCAAGACTGCGGGCACCGAGTCGTCTGGCAACACCGAGTCGTCTGGCAAGACTGCGGGCACCGAGTCGTCTGGCAGAACAGCGGGCATCGAGTCAACCAGGCGGGACTGAGGGCACCGAGGTCGCCTGGCAAGACTGCGGGCACCGAGTCGTCTGGCAAGACTGCGGGCACCGAGTCGTCTGGCAAGACTGCGGGCACCGAGTCGTCTGGCAAGACAGTGGGCTCCGAGTCAACAGGCACGACAGTGGGCACCGGGTCATCAGGTATCGGATTGTCTGGCTCGACAGCGGGCATCGGGTCACCAGGTATGACAGCGGGCACTGGGTCACCAGGCATCAGGTCATTTGGCTTGCCAGCGGGCACCGCGTCATCTGGCAAGGCAGTGGGCACCGGGTCACCAGGTATGACAGCGGGCTCTGAGTCAATTGGCACGACAGCGGGCACTGGATCAGGTACCGGATCATCTGGATCAACAGCGGCATCGAGTCAACTGGCCTAATAGGATCGTCGGGCTGGATCAGTTCATCATGCTGAGTAGTGGCATCAGGCTGAATGCAGGCATCAGGCCGAGTAGAGGCTTCAGGCTGAGTAGAGGCTTCAGGCTGAGTAGAGGCTTCAGGCTGAAGAGAGGCTTCAGGCTGAGTAGAGGCATCAGCTGAAGGCTTCAGGCTGAGGGAGGCATCAGGCTGAAGAGAGAGGCATCAGGCTGAAGAGAGGCATCAGGCTGAAGAGAGGCATCAAGCTGAAGAGAGGCATCCGGCTGAAGAGAGGGCTTCAGGCTGAGTAGAGGCTTCAGGCTGAGTAGAGAGGCTTCAGGCTGAGTAGAGGCTTCAGGCTGAGTCACGGAAGCAGGTTCACCGGTTTTGGATACTGGCAGGATGGTATTGGTTGGAAAGAATTTTCGCTTTTTTCTGGTTTTAACTACTGGAGCACTGCAAGTAAACGCAGGTCTGCAAACAAATGGAGCAGCTGGAGACAGAGAAAAACTGGAGGATGGAACAGGGAGGGAGCAGATTGCTAACAGAGGACTTTTTTACAGGTTTAAAGGCAGGATAGGTGCAGCGAGTGGGAACAGGGTACTGACATGCGGTAGATAGCCAAGTATACTGGGCTGTAACTGGAGGAGCTGGTGGGAATACAGGAGTAGAGTTAGAAGCAGGACTGGGTTTTTGTAAGCTGACTGAGGCTGGGTGCAACAAGTCTGTCCATGTCTGCAGTATGGGTTGAACAAAGCTGAGCTTACACAAAGCCTGTCTGGTCAATGACTGCACTGCGTTTATACAATCTCTTAGTGTCTGTGGTGAACATGTGGAATAACGCTCCAGAAAGTAACCCACATCATCCTCTAATAACCACACCAGGACTCTACCTGGTCTGCACTAAATGGTGGCAAAAATTCATCCCTGCATTCGGGGAACCAGATGAAAAACCAACTCAGCACAAACCTCAATCAATGGCTGCACCTCAGAGAAACTCTGTGCCCTGATCTACTAGAACATGAGCGAGCCGTATACATTCTAGTAGTTCATCCCGGGGATACTCTCCTTCAGAGTTTGATAAGCATACTCCCCTGTCATCAAACACTAGCAATATAAATACACAACCTCATCCAGATCCATCCTTCCCAGCAACAAGCCAAGATGGCTTCCCTGTGCAAAGCCACTTCTGGTCAGGAATGGCCCTTGGAGTAATGATCAGGGCTCCCAGGTGTGACCCAGAGGTGTGGTGACTGACGCAGGAAAACGCAGACTTCAGATATGTGATAAACAATATAATTTATTTAACACTGAACAATACAAACATAAATGCAGTGCAATACTAAACATAATACAGTGCAAACAAACCAAACAACCACCCACACGATAACAAGTACATACAAGCAAGCATAATCGTGTTCAGGCAGGCCGGAAGGTCAATATCAATAGGGGCAGGTAGGTACAGGGGTAGCAAGCGAGATTGGTCCGGGGTCACAGGCCAGGTATCAGCAGGTAGCAGGCAGCTAGTACAGAGGGTCCAGCGGCAAGAGGGATGGGCCAGACAAGTCAGGGAATCAGAACAGGTAAGCAGAGAATCACATACAGGAACAGAGAGCAGGAACAGATAACAGGGCCCAGAGAAACACAACACAAAGGCAAGGTCTGCAGTACCTGCCATCCCTTAAATCCCCCAGCAAAATCAGCTTCCAGGTGTTAGCTCTGGCTTGCAAAGTTGAGTCTCTGATAGCTGGTAAGCATCCGCTGCCAGCCCGCGGTACAGCCCCCCCAGATCAAAAGCCAAGTGAGTCCCACCATTGCAGGCTTAGTCGCATTCATGACAGCAGGGCTTCCCTTGCAGGCTAAGTTCCCCAGACTTCCCCTGAAGTGGGACAGCGGGATCCAGCCCAAAGTGGCTACAGTTCACCCTGTAGGAGTGCTTGTTGGTGTCCACCCAGACACAGTAGCTTATGCACGGAGATGAGGTCTGCAGAAGATGGCCCTGGAGAGGTTGCAACCCCTTCGGGAATGAGGATTACTGGATTCCAAATTTCAAGCCAAGGTCGGGGTCCCCAGGTGGGAATCAAAGGCAGACTTATCAAGGGGATAGCAAAGGTCTACACCGAAAGCAAGGGTTTCCGTTCCCAACCCGAGGTCAGATCGGGGGGGAAAGTAGATAGACAGGTCCAAGAGAAACCGAGTGGTTAAATCAAAAATTACAGGTACAATAACACAAAAAAGGAAACCCAGGAACAAGGTACGGGGGAGCAGAGGTCACCAGAAACTTGGGAGTGAAGAGCCTTTTTTTAAAAAGGCCGTTTGGCCCCAAAAAACGGGGCCTATGTGTGCATTTCTGCGCCTGTGGGTATGGTGAAAATCCCCGGGGTTTTCCCCGGATTCTGCCGTGATAGGACCCGGGGAGTGCCCCCCCCTAAAGGGCACCCTCCAATGCCCACCTGGACCATTTTTTTCGGGTATTTTGGAAAGGAAAATTTTGGGAACCCCGGGGGGCATTACATTCCCTTTTTGGGTTCCCGGGAACTTTTTCAGGTGGGTACCCCTTCCATCTGCCCAAGTACTGGATTTGCTTCCCCCCCTTTTCCTGAGTCTTGAATGCCTTAAACCCTCATATTCTACTTCCCCCCCCAACCTGTTTTCGGCGGAGGAGGTGGGCTACTCCCCGGGAAAAAGGGGATCGGGAACAGCGGGCTTGAGTAAGGAATGTGGAAAACTAGATGAATCTTGTAGATTCAGGAAGAAACAGTTATATGCCACGGAAAATTTTTCCCTCTTATTCAAAAGGGCCAATTTTCCCGGTTCCAACTTCTGAAGGGCAAGGGAAGTTTTGGTTGGGCAGTTAACAGCCAACTTTGTCCCCGATTTCAGAAAAAGGGTTTCCTCTCCTTTTCCCTGTCATAGTGCTTCTTTAGCACCCTGGGATTTCTGTAAAACTTTTTGGAAAACTCTATAGTTTTTTTTTATCATGGCAGTCTGTCCTTATGCGGGTACTGTACTTGGAGGGTGCCCCGGTGTGAAGGAAGGGTGGAATCCAAATTTCCCCCCCAAAATGGTGACGGTTCGTAGTGAATGGATTGAGTGTTGTAGGAAAAACTCCACCAATGGGAGTAGGATGCCCAATCACCGGGGAAAAAGCAAGAAGCCCCCTAAATATTTGCCCAAAATTTTGGTTTGTTCGCTCCGTTTCCCCGTTAATCTAAAATTTGGAAAGGCGGATATAGAAAAAGTTACACCTTCGGGGCCTTGCAGGGGGCTTCCCAAAACCCTGGAAGTAAACTGCCCCCCTCGGCCGAGACAATATTAGGGGGCAGCCCACGTAACCTAAGTCTCCTTTTTGAAGTAAAGTGCAGTTTTTGGCGCAAATGGATTTTCCCACCATTGGTAAAAGTAGGTCATCAGGATACCAATCCCCTACAAAAAGAAGGTAGTTAAAAACCCCCAGAGGAGTGGAAAGTCCACAATGAAGTCCCTTGCCACCCCCAAGACGATAGGGTGAGCAGGGGGCCTCATAACCCCCAAGACTTGGTTTTGTCCACTTGCTACGCAGAACAAAGTGCAAGTTTCACATAGGATTTTCAGCTTGATTCAGTTGGGCCACCAAAAGGATCGCTGGGTCAGTTCCATTGTTTACGGGCTCCCCAAAGGGCCCCCAGTTTTGGGGATTGTGGAAAATCCCGAAAATTGGAATCTTACCCCTTGGGGGGCAAAGATCTTATCCGGTGCCAAAGAAGACCATTCTGCCTTCTTAACGAGTCTTGTTTGGGTTCAAACTGTGCAAAGGTTGCTTGCGAAACTTAGGTGGGTTGAAAACAGAAAAAAATTTTGGCCGACAAGAGGTTTTGGGGGGAGAAGGGTTCACGGGTCCCGGGGAAAACGGGGGCAAGGGATCTGCCTTTCCCTCTTGGGGTCCTGGGGGGTAGGTTATGAGAAATTAAATTGGAGAAATATAAAGCCATCTAGCCTGGGGGTCTTAGGGGCTTGGCGGTCTTAGATACCAGATTTTTTTGAAACCGGAAAATCAAATTGGGAGGCTAGTCCCTCCAAGAGGTTTTCCATTCTTCAAAGGCCCA